ACACATAGAAAATGTCATACTGAATTGCGTCGACTGCATACTATATAATAGGAAAAGGGGGAAAGGTGAAGGCCTATTAAATCCCATACCAAAAGGGGACAGTCCTTTGAGCACATACCATGTAGATTTTCTCGGACCACTACCCTCAACGAACAAAAACTACCAGCACATATTCACGGTAGTAGATAGTTTTACTAAGTTTGTGTGGTTTTACCCCGTTAAGTCAACAACTACACGAGATGCTTTGGATAAGCTGAGGATCCAACAAGCAGTATTTGGAAACCCGTTTCGTATTGTCACGGATCGTGGAACCGCTTTTACTTCCAAAGAATTTAACGATTATTGCACCAACGAGATGATTGAGCACATTACGATTGCCACAGGTATTCCTAGGGGAAATGGACAGATAGAACGTATGCATAGCATCTTGATCCCCGTTTTGGCGAAACTCGCGCAAGAAGACGCTACAAAGTGGTACAAATATGTTTCGGACGTCCAAAGGATCATCAACAGTACGCCAACGCGTAGTACGAGATATACACCTTTTGAAATTTTGGTCGGTACCAAAATGAAAAATAAAGAAGACCTGAGAATAAAAGAGATTTTGGAAGAAGAATTTTTAAACTGTACGATGCAAGATAGAGACAAGATTCGAGAAGATGCCAAACAAAACATCTTGAAACTACAGGAGGAAAATCGTAAATCCTACAATAAGAAAAGAAAGCAAGCTCCCAAATATCAGGTCAACGACCTTGTTGCCATTCAGAGAACCCAGTATGGGACAGGACTCAAACTAAGACCTGTTTTTCGGACCTTACAAGGTTACCTCGACGATGCCTAGGGACAGATATGCGGTTGAGAAAATTGGTCATCATGAAGGCCCAATGTGACTGTTACTGCAGCTGACCACATGAAGCCATGGCCCACTGACATCAAGAACTTTTCCAGAACATTTCTAATCGTATTTTCTCTTTTTGTTCTTATGTTTTTGTGTGTGTGTTGTTTTTTAGTTTTCCAGTAATCTCTCCAAGGACGGAGTGATCTGCAGGATGGCCGAGCTGCAAGGTCTATGTAAGAAGGTCAGGACACGCTCCCGTGATTCTATGCGGCAGCAGCCATTTTGGGACTCATCGATAGAGCTCAACATACGTGGTTCCTGCGTGAGTCGACTATTATTACTTATATACGTACTCAAAACGTTAAGCAATGGGTTATTGTGTTGCACCTAATTGTAAAAGTAAGTCTACCGACGTTCGATTGTTCAGATTTCCTGCAGATAAGCAGAGGAGAGCGAAATGGGTGCAGAACTGCAGACGGGATAAGTGGCAGCCAACTGAACATTCTAAACTGTGTGAGGTTAGTGTATATCATGTATTTTTCTATAGTTACTGTCTTGAAATGTATGCGTGAGCTCACATTAAATTATTTGTTGTTCAGCTTCATTTCAAAGAATCGCAGTTTGAACTGAAAAGAGCTGACGGAAGGAAGCTGCTGAAATGGAATGCGGTTCCCACAATTTTTAATGTGAAAAAGTTGAAAAATGTTTTCTCATTTGTCTCCATAAATAATTTCATTGTTTAAATTTTGAGTATTTATTTGTGATGTGACTTGGTGAAATTGCTTTTTATACAAGAATAAAGAATCATTTTAGGTAAATTAGCATTTGTATCTTGTGTTTACAGAGAAAGAAGTTATGTCTCAGATAAGTTCTGTTAAAAATATTATTAAATTATGTTTAATATTATCCTTTTTGATTAAATTTTATGTAATTAGGAAAATATGATGTTTAAGTCTTTGTAAAGCCAAAAATGTTCATTAATTAAACGTTAGTCCAGTACAGTAGATCCCCCTATAAAACAGTTTCCTATAGTTATGATTCCTATAAAAATTGTGGCAGTATCCGTAAACAACGGTAAAAATAACTCCTATAATACGTAAAATGTCATCGGGCAGCCGAACTACTTTCCCGCCGTCCGTAGCGCCACGCTACAGACGTTTAGGCGGATACATTGAGTTTAGTATCGTCTGTTCATATAATTATATATAAATTAGGTACTGTACATATAATTATATATTAATTATATATAAATTAGGTACTGTATATATAATTATATATTAACTTAATTTATTGTAACTTTATTATAATTAAATATATATTTTTCGCCGTCTAGCGTCACGCTACGGCGAGTTAGGCGACCTATCGTCTGTCCAGTACTGTAATTTTATACATTTCTTGTGAAAGAAACATTTCTTATTTAACGGCCATAAAAATTATTTATATTAAGGATGTCTCCAAAGGTCAACGAAGTTTTCGCAGAAAAATAATATCAGAAATCGCGGCCGC